TGGATTCCATCCGTCTACTCAGAACCCGCCCAAGGAGCCCCAGCCAGCGCCTCCCGACCCCCGGCCAGGCCGACTGGGCCCCCACGGCTCCACATGCCCCTCCCTGGCCAGGCCCCACTGCCCCATGCGGCCCTGGGAGGTCATTTTCCTTCTTATGCGCCTCAGTCTCCTCACCTCTAAGGGGGGGAACAGGCTACCCACCCCCGAGGTCAGCTCAGACACCTTTTCTTTTTTATTTTATGGAGAAGTTTTTGCTATAGGGCGTGTGCACTCACCACAGAGACAGACAGACAGGGAGACAGAGAGACAGAAAGAGAGAAATCACCCCACCCCCACCCCCCAGCGAGAATGGCCACAACCGCGGTCGACTACGTGGGAGTCCAGCAATGTAACTATTACACCATCTGCTGGTCCCTCCTTTCTTTTTTTAAAGCTATTCATTTTTCCCATGAATGTGAGAGTGAGTCCCCCAGCAGGGCCCTGATGCTGAAACACTGCCCCCATCCCCCAGCCTCAGTAGGCCCTGGGTCACAGGCACGCACACGCCCGGCACACCCAGGAAGGGCCCGGACTCGGGTGGAGAACCTTCCCATGTGGCTCGGCCTCTGTGGGGCGCTGCGTTGACAGCAGCCGCCTGGCCCTTCCCTGCCCTGGGCCCTTACTGCACAGCAGGACCAGTTCCAGGACCCTCCATGAACGGACCAAGTGACAAGCACTGGTGTCCCAGGGAGACACGGTGGCCAGAGAGGAGGTGAGAGCCGGGACTGAGGGGTCAGCGTGTCGCTGCCACCTCACAAGTACCGGAAAGGACTTGTCCCCTGTCGTATTTCAGGGCAGGTGGTTTTGGCGATTTTCACACCTGCAGACTCGGTGAGCGGCAGAAAGCTGGCAGAAGCGTGTGCACGCGGGCACTTGCATCTGTGTGCACACACGTGTGTAAAATAAACTCTCGGGACACAGCACCCGGCGACCTGAGCTGGCAGGGCCCAAAAAGGTCTCTGAGACTAAAAGCACATAACGAAGGAGGTTTGGCCCGCGCCGGGCTGCAGCCACGTGGGCGGTCCTGGCTGGTGTCCGAGGGGCGCTGTCCCTCGCGGGCGCT